CACACACACACACACACACACATACACACACACAAAAGCACATGTGGACACAAAGAACACACACACACACACACACACACACACACACACACACACAAACACACACACACACATTATATGAATAAACAAATGCGTGCACGCATATATTCACTCTCAACCCGCTCTATTCAGTCACTTTTTTGTGTGCAGGTTCATAGTTTAAAAAAATTAATAGTGCAGACAATTTTGCAGGTTTTCTTCATTTGGGGTGGGGTGTACAAAATACCCTTACATAACCTCACTCGTACGCTCAAACTCAATGCACATAGGAGGAGTCAACTGAAAAAACGGGCATAGATCTAGTCACAGACTGGAAATTGTGAGTGTCAATTTTAAAAGCTTGTGGACTCAGACTTCATATCAATTTGTTTGACTGGTGGTTTATTGTTAAGTGTTGTTGAATGGAAAATCTAACAGCAATAATCACAACACTTGCACAAAAATACAGTTATGAGTCAACCATTGATACCCTCACGATTTTCAGTTTGTGACTACGCCCGTTTCTTTCAGTGGACTCTTCGAGATCTACATTTTATTACTAATTGTATTTCAGGTTAGCATGGCCTTGCATGCTACAACTGCTACAGCCCTCTCATTCTGAGCGCACAAGCTGCCTAGTGTTCAGAGACATCACTCTTGCTTGACTCCAGTCCAACACTCTCTCTACTCTTCATGAGAAGTGAATAGTTAGTGAGAACACTCCAACACTCTCTCTTACTACTCTTCATGACTTCACGAGAAGTGAGAACTCTCCAACACTCTCTCTTGATGACAACTGACAAGTGATGAGAAGTGAGAACAGCGTGTTGTTGAAGCAATAATAATCGTGACGGAGCAAAGTTCAAGTCGAGCAGGGCAAGAGCACGAGGAGCACGCTCAAACTTCGTTTAGATCTATTTTATTATTTTTGGGGGGTTGCTGTTGAACCAAAATTAGGCCTACTCCTTTTGCACAGTTTCAAGTTCTCAACTGTTTACTGTTTGTGTTCGTGTGTAGCCCGTGCAGACTGTGTGTATAGATGTGGAACGAAAGGAGGAGGTTGAAAAGATAGGCCTAGGCTAACAGAATATCAAGACGAGCAGTTTTTGCAAAGAAATAATATCGTGTGGTGAAAGATTTCTACAAGGAAGACAATAATTAAATGTTTCAGTGATTTCTACCCTCAAGCTGAGTGCACCGCGTTACGATTACGAGGACCTTAATTGAAAGCTGCTTGTTGCCTCCAGAAGGATATTAATTGGTGTTATTATTGTAGCTGCTGTTGTTGCTGTTGTGTGGGTAGTTGGCGGGTGCTCTGGTGTGCTTTGCTCCTTCTTTTCTCTGCCAAAAACTATCGTCCTTCTTTCTCCTTCCTCCTTTTTGGTGTTTGTTACTCTCTTGTAATACCTCTGATCTTCGGCAACGTATATGTATGACCTCATTGTGTTGCAAGTGCCGTAAACTCTTACCCAAAGAAGGCTGCTGTTGTAGCTGTTGTAGCTGTTGTAGCTGTTGTTGCTGTTGTAGCTGTTGTAGCTGTTGTAGCTGTTGTAGCTGTTGTTCAGTGATGCCAATTGGCGATGTCTGTGTCATCGGAAAGCCATGAGTATCACCACGTCCACGGCCAACAACATGGGTCGGGTTCTCACCAAGCGACGCCTCGCACCAACACACCACTAGCCCATAGTGGCGGGCATCTTCACCAGGGACACAACCACCAAGAGCATAATCATCAAGTGAGTGCTTATCTCTTCATCCATTTCCTCCTCTCCTCTTACATTTTCCTTGGGAGGACTTCTGTAACGAGCGACCACCCCAACAAACACAATAATATAGAAGAGCCCTAACCCTGGCCCAATCCCCACCCGTATCCCCAACCCTATACCCATATCAATACCCCTACCCTTATCCATACCCCTACCCTAAACCCTTACCCACTACCCTAAACCCTTACCCACTACCCTAAACCCTTACCCACTACCCTAAACCCTACCCCTACCCTAAACCCTTACCCACTACCCTAAACCCTACCCCTACCCTAAACCCTTACCCACTACCCTAAACCCTACCCCTACCCTAA